AGAACACCATTAGACAATAGTCTGCATCTATCCAAAAATAGAGGAGAGGGTACTTCTCAAGTAGAGTACTCTAGAGTTGTTGGAAGTCTAATGTACTTAATGAGTAGTACTAGACCAGACATTGCCTATACGGTTAGTAAATTGAGTAAATATATGAGCAATCCGAATGCTGACCATTGGAAAGCAATAGTGAGAGTATTTAGGTACTTATGATATACTCGGAATTATGGCCTGCATTATACTAGATACCCAGCTGTTCTAAAAGGATATAGTGATGTGAACTGGATATCTAATATAAAAGACTCAAAATCTACTAGTGGATATGTATTCACACTAGCAGGAGCAGTCATATCTTGAAAATCCCGTAAACAAATTGTTATAGCCAGATCCACAATAGAATCTGAATTTATAGCTTTAGATAAATGTGGTGAAGAGGCTCAATGGCTATGCCATTTCTTAGAGGATATTCCAAAATGGCAAAAACTTGTGCCACCAATAAGTATACAATGTGATAGTCAATTTGCGATTGGAAGAGCACAGAGTAATATGTATAATGGTAAGTCTAGAGATATACATCATAGACATAATACCATTAAACAACTACTCTCAATAGGAATTATTTCTATTGACTATGTAAAGTCAAGGGATAATATTGCGGATCCACTAACCAAAGGGTTAAACAGAGAGTTAGTTGAGAAATCGACAAGAAGAATGGGACTGAAGCCCATGAAAAAATAAGTTGGTATAAAGGAAACCCAACCTAGTTGACTGGAGATCCCAAGATCTAAGTTCAAAGGGACAACCTAATTATATAAACTTAGTGTTATCACTGTGGGGGTTATCCCTAAAACCACTCCTATATAAAATATCAGTGATATTGTAAAAAAAAGGATAGCAATTTTGCTTTAATGATTCTTATGTGGAGTAAACAAAAAAATTAAGTAATCACCTATGTGAGAGAGAAGTGGGGCCGCTTCAAAGGAGAATTATTTAAGGGCTAAATTCTTTAGAAACTCTTGCAGAACCAGGTTGATGTTCATGGCCAAAACGAACATAACTATGAGAACTGAACAAACATTTAGATGATTCCTGTGTGAAGTGTATGGTTCATTTACATAAGAAAGCTGGACAGTTCAAGGACATCATGTCTATTGGAAAACTAGTAAAGTAAATATACTTTCACAAGGGAAGGTTCAAATGGTAACACCTACCTATCCTATACAGGTTTCAATTGTTGAACATTATCACAGAGTCAAAACTAAAACAATTTTCATTCAAGTGGGGGATTGTTGGAAATATGGGACAAATTGATGGGTGAATGAATGAGAAATTGATGATCAAGGAACACCCTTGAAGTGGAAGTGGGAAGTGGAAAAACAAATCTGCTTTAAGGAAACTGTGTTGAACACAGATCTCGGTATCCATTTGTATCGATTCCAATTCTGTTATTGTAATTTCATTTCTTTACAATTCTGTATTGTTCGTGACAAAGTGTTCATAACAAACAGCTCTGTCCTCGAGTTCTTCATCCAGAGCTCTTTCCCGGCAATCTTTTTGAATCCTACAGACGGCGAAACCATCAAAGCCTGCATCAAGAACTCATCTGAGCCAACAGCAAGTGTTCAATTTCGGAAAACACTAATCGGTAGCAAGCCTGCTCCAAGCGTAGCGAGCTACAGCTCACGTGGCCCATCCCCAAGTTGTCCGGTCGTCCTCAAGCCCGACATTTTGGCTCCTGGCTGGTTGGCCTCAAAACAATCCAGTGGGTGTGGTGAACTCGCATCAACTATTTAACAACTTCAACCTTTTGTCAGGGACATCGATATCGTGCCCACACATTGCCGGAGTGGCTGCGCTCCTAAGAGGAGCACACCTGGACTGGAGCCCTGCAGCCATCTGGTCAGCCATGATGACTACATCGTATTCAACGGATAGCACGAATGCCCCTATCAAAGACATTTGGAATGACTACAAACCGGCGAGCCCTCTAGCCATGGGATCGGGCCACGTTGATCCAAAAAAGGCATTAGACCCTGGACTTGTATACGATGCGACCCCCCAAGACTTCGTCAACCTCATGTGCGTGATGAATTACACATCGAAGCAAATTCAAACGGTCACCAGGTCATCTTCCTACAATTGTTCAGACTCATCACTGGACCTCAACTACCCTTCCTTCATTGCCTTCTTTAGTCTAAACAGCTCGGGCTCTCCGACGGCACAAGAATTCTTCCAGACGGTGACGAATGTGGGGGACGGGTCGTCAACTTACATTGCGAAGGTGACTTGGATGGAGGGATTCAAGATCGGCGTCACGCCAGATAAATTGACACTCAAAGAGAAATATGAGAAGCTGAGGTATAAGCTGACAATAGAAGAACCAACACAGATGAACGAGACACCGGTGTTTGGTTCTGTGAGTTGGATGGATAAGGGTGGCAAGCATGTGGTCAGAAGTCCCATTGTGGCGACGAGCCTGTGCTCGGAGGCATTGAAGTCCAGAACTTGAATTTTTTCTAGTTTAGCATCAGTAGACGATAATTTTTTCTTTATCTTCGTTCTTATCGAACTAATTTATATATAATGGAATAAATCAACTTTCTTTGGCTACGTGAATCTTGGAAGTGAATAGGATGTCAAAATCATACTGCACATCTTACTTGCTAAACGACAGAAAGAGAGCTTTTGCAATCTGTATGAAAGTTGCAGGTGTCGATCCAAAGTCCCATATCCACCGTTACGCTTCAATCATCAAGAACAAGACACGCATAATGAAGTTTCAACGACCATGAGATTGTCCAAATTAATGAATGATAAGATTCTTGAGTTTGCAACTCATCACAAAACAGAGTCAGAGTGGCATTTTGCGCAGCTCGTTTCCATTTCAGCATCGCAAAAGGTTTTGTATTGTTGGAATTAATTTACGGATGGCGAATACTCCCTGCAAGTTTACCTCAGAAAATCACAAATCAGAGCCCACCAAACATGACGAAACAACCTGCCATAAGACATCATTATTGAAGGATAGTTTTGTTACTCATGAAAGAGATGAAAAGTGATGCGTGAGGACAACGGATTGAGCAAAGGATTTGGTTTTGTTTGTTTCTCCAACTGTGAAGAAGCAAAAAGAGCACTGAATACACCGAAAGGTATTTACAACTCCCTGTATCTGTCTAGAATAGTTGTGGATGAAACTTAATCTTTGTACATATCATTCCAGGGATCATCTTCAGAGGGAAACCTCTCTATGTGGCAATTGCTCAGCAGAAAGATGATCGTTCCAGAAATTTACAAGAGTATCGCTCCCAGATTCAACCTCAATCTCGGCATCATTCTTCCTTGAATTCTCTTCCAGGCCAACACTATGCACCCCCTTACAACATCCCCCTCTTCATGTTCCATACACTTTATTGTCCCAGTCAATTCACCGTCAATATGTTGGATCTGAGAAAGAACAAAGCAATGAAGAAATGAAACTACACAAGAACCAGATCAATAGAAAACCTCATCACCATAGCCATTTCTTTTTACTCTGTAAAAATTCATCTGAAAGCCCTCGATCATCACCACTTACACGGACACACAAGGACAGAAAAATAGAAAAGGAAGAGAGGAAGAAGAAGATTATGAGAGAGGGCTCTACTCCGTTCTTATATGCTTTCGGTCACAGAGGATTAGGATTTTCGCTCATCCGAAATTACGGTTGTGCCCCCCATGGGCCACGGTGTCAATTCCGGGCCGTCTCACTCTTGGGCTGCAGCTCCACTTGTTTTCGGTCAGAGTCTCTGGTGTCTTCTTCACCTTTACTCTCAACATCCCCCTCAAACTGGGGGATGGTTTTGAAACCTAAACCCAGTTTGATTCTAAGAGAACAATGATCAAATTTGGACAAGGCCTTGGTAAAAATGTCCGCAATTTGACGATGGCTAGGAACGTATTGCACACTGAGTAAACCCAACGAAACCTTCTCGCGGACGAAGTGGAAATCGATTTCAATTTGCTTTGTCCTGGCATGTAAGATAGGATTAGATGTAAGAGAAATCGCAGATTGATTATCACAAAACAATACCATTGGTGAGGTTAAGTGAATCCCGATGTCTCTCTGGACAAATGCAATCCACGTAAGATCGGTAGTAGCAGAGGCGAGTGCTCTGTACTCTGCTTCGGTCGATGACCGTGACACTATGTTCTGTTTCTTTGCCGACCAAGAGGTGATATTCGAACAAAGGTAAGTGCAAAACCCCGTAGTGGAGCGTCTCGTATCGGTACAACCAGCCCAGTCGGCATCCGAAAAACCATATAAATTCAACGAGCTATTTGAGTGAATGAAAAGTCTCAAGTTAACAGTCCCCTTGATATAACGCAATACTCGCGTCAATTTATTTAAGTCACCCACTGTCGGATTCTGCATTTTCTGGCATAACACGTTCGTAGCATATGCAATATCTGGTCTGGTTATCGTTAGATATTGCAGACCGCCCACTAAGCTTCTGTATTCCAACGGGTTGTCAGGATAAACATCATCACCAGAGTTGTGAACTAGTTTAGTGACAAGGGTGTAGAGATAGGCTTCAATTCCTTCATATGTGCTCGTTCCAGGAGGTCAATGGTGATGCAGCCTGGTCTGACTCGACGATGTTGACGAGATAAGCTCCAATTACCGAAAACCTCATATTGGGCGTGTAATAATATTATTGGAGTATATATGTAATAATACATCCATTTAGTTCGAGTTAGCCGAAAAGTATCTTTCTTCGGCAATTACACTTTTCGGCCCAACACTTTGTATATAAAAGCGTGTAATAATATTATTGGAGTTAGCCGAATTTATATCCATTACGAGCATATATGCTGGGCATTAAGGTTTTGCATATATTGTCATCATAGGTTTTCCCGACGGACTTACCTCCAAGTTAGCTGGCACCAGCCGAAAAGTTCTATCTTTTCCTCTGTTCTGTTCATTGGAATCATTTGGTATCAGAGCTTTGGAGGAGAGAACCATGCCGCCAAGACAAGCTAGACGTCGTGGAGGCAGAACCATCCCACTGAATGAAGTGCATACGCTCGCTGACAATTTGCAACAACATATGCAACAACAAATTGATGAGTTGACGCGGGAATTTGAGCGTCTGAGGGCGGAAAGAAACAATTCACCACCTCGTTCCAGGACCAAAGATTCCAATGGTGACTCTTCATCTTCGGAGAATGTTCAACCATTTCGCAATCGGAGGAATGTTCGACGTCACGAGCAAAACATTCGTGAACCGGAGTGGGAAAAAGAAGTTAAAACGGATATCCTGGAATTCTCAGGTAATGATTCTCCTGAAGAAATTGTTGACTGGCTAACACTTGTTAATGAAGTGTTTGAGCATCGAAATGTTCCGGAGGATCATCGAGTCAGAATCATCGCTATGCGATTCAAAGGTAAAGCCATCGCTTGGTGGAGGCGTGAGAAGCAAACTCGCCAATCCGTTGGCAAAGCGCCAATTACCTCGTGGAGGAAGATGGAAGACAAGATCCGAAAGTATTTCCTACCTAAGGGATACAAGAGAGAGCTCTATCAACGGTACCAAAATCTGAGACAAGGTACGCGAACGGTGGACCAATACACCAACGAATTCAATGAGTTGGTGATTCGCAACAACATTCAAGATCCAAAGGAAATGCTTGTGAGCAAGTACTTGAATGGCCTTCAACTTCATATTCAAGATGCCCCGGAAGTCCTTGACATTTGGGACTTAGGAGATGCACACCAACGAGCACTCAAGGTGGAGCGTTCTCGCTCAAGGAGGCAACAATCCTCTATCATGACCAATCGACCCGCTAGGAGTACCCCCGGCACCACCAAAGTTGCTAAGGCTACGACGCAAACCACTAGTAAGTTTCCTAATCAGCCCAACATTTTGAAGCAACCAACTACGTCCGATATTCGTTGCTATACTTGTGGTGAGTTGGGTCATCGTGCTAGCAATTGCCAAAAGAACAAGAATCGACAAGCCGGCAAAGCCTTCTTAGTGGATAACGATTCTGATGAGGATGTGGAGGATCCGCTCGAAGAAGAGGTGAATGATGTCGAAGAGTCCGCAGGTGACGAGCAAATAGTGCATGTTGATTCTGGTGAATTTCTGATGGTGAGAAAAATCTTTCTAGTTCCTCGTGATGAGACCAGAGATAGGTGGCTGCGCACCAACATTTTCCATTCCGCTTGCACGATTAAGGGGAAGGTATGTCAATTGATTATTGACTCTGGATGCTGTGAGAATATAATTTCTGAAATGGCAGCGAACAAACTAAAGTTGGAGTTAAAGGCGCACCCCACACCTTACAAGATGCCGTGGCTATCAAAAGGCACCGAGATAACCGTTTCCAAACGCTGCCTTGTTAATCTATCCATTGGTTCTGTTTATTTCGACAAGATATGGTGCGATGTTCTACCGATGGATGCTAGTCATGTTATTCTTGGGTGACCATGGCAATTCGATAGGCGGACTACTCATAATGGTTATCGAAATACGTATTCTTTTGAATTTGGAGGGAAGAAGATTATATTAGCACCTAGTAAGGAGCCTTTGAAAACTCCTGTTGTCAAAAAGTCATCATCTCCTACATTGCTTTCGATGAAGGATATGAAAGGTGCTTTAAAAGGGGTTCGTATTGTATATGTTTTACTTCACAAAGCTGGTGAAGTTGCTTCTTCCATACCTCTTGAAGTTCGGCCACTTTTGGAAGAATTCAAGGTTGTTTTCCCGACGGACTTACTTGCAGGTCTCCCTCTTATGAGAGACATTCAGCACCAAATCGATTTGATGCCCGGTGCTTCCTTATCGAATTTGGCTCATTATCGGATGAGTCCAACGGAGCATGAAGAATTGCATCGACAAGTTGTCGAACTCTTGACTAAGGGTTTTATCCGAGAAAGCCTTAGTCCATGTGCCGTTCCAGCTCTCTTGGTACCTAAGAAAAATGGTACTTGGAGGATGTGTGTCGATAGTAGGGCAATCAACAAAATCACTGTCAAGTATCGATTCCCTATTGCTCGCCTTGATGACCTCTTGGATTAACTCTCTGGTGCAATCATCTTTTCAAAGCTAGATTTGAAAAGTGGATATCATTAAATCAAAATCAAGCCCGGAGATGAATGGAAGACAGCATTCAAAACAAGAGATGGGCTGTATGAGTGGCTAGTCATGCCATTCGGATTGTCGAATGCACCATCGACAATCATGAGGTTCATGACCCAAATTCCGAAACCCTTTTTGGGAAAATTTGTTGTGGTCTATTTCGATGATATTCTTATTTTTAGCAAGTCTACTGACGAGCACCTGCAACATCTTCAAGAAGTACTTCACGTGTTGAGACAAGAGCGCTTGTACGCAACCCTCGAGAAGTGCTATTTCATGGTACCGCAAATCCTTTTCTTGGGATTTCGTATTTCAGCAAAGGGCATTTTAGTGAATGATGCCAAGATCAAGGTGATTCGAGAATGGCCAACTCCATCAGATGTGCATGAGGGCAGCAAAAGCTTAACTCCAGGCATGCAAAATGGGCTGAATACGTTCAAGAGTTCACTTTCATCATTAAACATAAAGCTGGAGTTCAAAATCAGGTTGATGATGCTCTTAGTAGAAAGAAGAGCTTACTCCACACAATGCGATCAACAGTTCTTGGATTCGAATCATTCCAAGAGTTGTATCATGAAGATCCTTACTTCTCCAAAATCTTGCCCAAAGCAAAAGAGAAGAAACTTGCTGATTTCACTGTGTGATGGATTTCTTTTCAAAAGGAACCGTTTATGTGTACCTAATTGTTCACTTCGACAAAGGGTGATCAATGAAGTTCATCGCGACGGACATTTTGGGCGTGACAAGACCGTGCAACTTGTTTCAGCCAAGTACTTTTGGCCTCATTTGAAACGAGACATACATCGACATGTGATGAGGTGTCGATGCTGCCAAACTGGAAAAGGACATGCTACTAATACTGGCCTTTATTTGCCCTTACCAATCTCGCAAGCACCTTGGGAAGATATCTCTATGGACTTTGTTCTTGGACTACCTCGCACTCTCAGAGGTATGGATTCCATCTTTGTTGTTGTAGATCGATTCTCAAAGATGGCGCATTTTATTCCTTGCCGCAAAACTATGGATGCTTCGCGTATAGCTGAATTATTCTTTAAGGAAGTCTATAAATTGCATGGCATCCCGAAGACTATTACTTCTGATCGGGACGCAAAGTTTCTCAGTCATTTTTGGCGACAATTGCGGAAGAATGTCGGTACTAAACTGCAATATAGTACTGTGTTTCATCCCCAAACTGATGGGCAAACTGAAGTCGTCAATCGAACCTTGGGAAATCTATTAAGGACACTGATTGATGAAAATCCTCGCTCTTGGGAGACGCGATTGTCACATGGCGAATTTGCATATAATTGTGCTGTAAACCATACGACTGGGTATAGTCCTTTCATGATCGTGTATGGACAATAGCCGAACACTGCTCTTGATCTTGCACCCATTCCTTTTGCTGAAAAGTCGAGTGACAGTGTTGAAGATATTGTTTCTCAGATGAGAGCAATTCATGAAGCTGTGCGCCGAAGGTTAGAAAGCAAGACAGAGTCCTATAAAAAGGACATCGATAAGCGGCGGCGTGAAGTTATCTTCGAACCAGGAGATTTTGTTTGGGCTAACTTGCCACCAAGCGTCATCCTGTTGGAAGCTATAACAAGCTTAGTGATCAAAATCTTGGTCCTCTTGAAGTTCTTGAGCGCATCAATCCCAATGCATATCGCTTAAGGCTTCCTTCTCATATGAAAACACATGATGTTTTCAACGTTCGGCATTTAACACCTTATGCTGGTGATTCCTCTGATGATGACATGAATTCAGGGATGAATTCTTTTAAAGAAGGGGAGGATGATGCAGGCCAAATTGATAATGCCGCCCGCATCGAAGACAAGCTCACTCGACCAAGGAGATCAGCCCGCATCCGAGCTCGACAAGTCGCTCCACCAGTCGAGGAGATATCGAATGGACGCAAATCAAAGACCAAGAGTATTATCTGCGAGTCCATGCCACAATAAAGTCCTTGTCTTTCCCTATACATTGGAAGCCTAAAAGATACTTTGGGATGATCAAGAAGACGTTGGGCATTTATCTATTTTCTAATTTCTAAGTTCTTTAATGTTTTATGCATTCTAGGATCTTTAATGCTCTTTAGTCTCTTCATTTGCTTGAGTCTTTTCATTTGTTTTTCTTTGGCTATAAAAGACCATCTACTTTATGTATTCGAGAGACGAATTTGATTAATGAAAATTTTGCATCAAGCAATTATCTTGAACCTTGAAGAGTTTCACTCCGTCCTTGAAGAGTCGGAGGTTTTCAAATCTGCATCCTTGAAGAGTTGCAGTCATCGATCTAGAAGAATCGGTGCCCTATCCACTTCATTGGAGGCCTGGAAGAGCAACCAACGAAGTTCTATCTTTTCCTCTGTTCTGTCCATTTATATCCGTCCACTTCCACCCCGATTTCTTCCTTCCTATAGTGCTTATTTGAGAAAACTCAAAACAGAGAAATTGTTAATCCAGAAGTCTTTGTTCATTTGGCTTTGGAATCAGGTCATTCCGATCTGTATCAACGAAGTTACATCCATTTTCCCGAGCTTGCGCAGGACTGTAATTATTGTTCGTCCTGTTCCACGTGTGCAAGTCACTCTCCCGATCCTAATGTTCGAGTAGCCTACACCAGGCTGTATCATTTGGTATCGTAGCTTTGGAGGAGAGAACCATGCCGCCAAGACAAGCTAGACGTCGTGGAGGCAGAACCATCCCATCGAATGAAGTGCATACGCTCGCTGACAATTTGCAGCAACATATGCAACAACAAATTGATGAGTTGATACGGGAAGTTGAGCGTCCGAGGGCGGCAAGAAACAATTCACCACCTCATTCCAGGACCGAAGATTCCAATGGTGACTCTTCATCTTCGGAGAATGTTTGACCATTTCACAATCGGAGGAATGTTCAACGTCACGAGCAAAACATTCGTGAACCGGAGTGGGAAAAAGAAGTTAAAAAGGATATCCCGGAATTCTCAGGTAGTGATTCTCCTGAAGAAATTGTTGACTGGCTAACACTTGTTAATGAAGTGTTTGAGCATCGAAATGTTCCGGAGGATCGTCGATTCGGGATCATCGCTATGCGATTCAAAGGTAAAGCCATCGCTTGGTGGAGGCATGAGAAGCAAACTCGCCAATCCGTTGGCAAAGCGCCAATTACCTCGTGGAGGAAGATGGAAGACAAGATCCAAAAGTATTTCCTACCTAAGGGATACAAGAGAGAGCTCTATCAATGGTACCAAAATCTGAGACAAGGTATGCGAACGGTGGACCAATACACCAACGAATTCAATGAGTTGGTGATTCGCAATAACATTCAAGATCCGGAGGAAATGCTTGTGAGCAAGTGCTTGAATGGCCTTCGACTTCATATTCAAGATGCCCTGGAAGTCCTTGACATTTGGGACTTAGGAGATGCACACCAACGAAGTTCTATCTTTTCCTCTGTTCTGTCCATTTACATCCGTCCACTTCCACCCCGATTTCGTCCTTCCTATAGTGCTTATTTGAGAAAACTCAAAAAAGAGAAATTGTTAATCCGGAAGTCTTTGTTCATTTGGCTTTGGAATCAGGTCATTCCGATCTGTATCAACGAAGTTACATCCATTTTCCCGAGCTTGCGCAGGACTGTAATTATTGTTCGTCCTGTTCCACGTGTGCAAGTCACTCTCCCGATCCTAATGTTCGAGTAGCCTACACCAGGCTGTATCATTTGGTATCAGAGCTTTGGAGGAGAGAACCATGCCGCCAAGACAAGCTAGACGTCGTGGAGGCAGAACCATCCCATCGAATGAAGTGCATACGCTCGCCGACAATTTGCAGCAACATATGCAACAACAAATTGATGAGTTGATACGGGAAGTTGAGCGTCGAGGGCGGCAAGAAACAATTCACCACCTCATTCCAGGACCGAAGATTCCAATGGTGACTCTTCATCTTCGGAGAATGTTTGACCATTTCACAATCGGAGGAATGTTCAACGTCACGAGCAAAACATTCGTGAACCGGAGTGGGAAAAAGAAGTTAAAAAGGATATCCCGAATTCTCAGGTAATGATTCTCCTGAAGAAATTGTTGACTGGCTAACACTTGTTAATGAAGTGTTTGAGCATCGAAATGTTCCGGAGGATCGTCGATTCGGGATCATCGCTATGCGATTCAAAGGTAAAGCCATCGCTTGGTGGAGGCATGAGAAGCAAACTCGCCAATCCGTTGGCAAAGCGCCAATTACCTCGTGGAGGAAGATGGAAGACAAGATCCAAAAGTATTTCCTACCTAAGGGATACAAGAGAGAGCTCTATCAATGGTACCAAAATCTGAGACAAGGTATGCGAACGGTGGACCAATACACCAAC